CACAAAAAATATATCTCCTTTTTGAAAGCTTAGTTCGTCGGTATCTGGCATTTTCGTGTATGGCAGTATTGCGACGATTCGTTTCTTATCATTTACTGGCTCCGGTGGTGGCGTTGGATGTATAAGTCTTTCTCTCTTTAAGAGATCCGAGCAATGGGTATAATACGCCACCAGATCTGAGAGACTGTTAAATTGACGACCGCCTATAATAGTTTTTAAATTAAGAGTTATATATCTAACGATAAATTTGTTAAACTCAAAATTTTACATTTTCATGATAAACTTTAAACATATTTTCATTATCTTTTTATTGTAATGTAATGTTGTTAAAATATCTTTTAAAATAATAATATAATAAATTCAGTTATTATGAGATATTATAAAAACATCATATTGCAAATATATTTCTCAAATTATATTGTATATCTCAGTCTCTACCAATGTAATAATCTCCACAGACAGCTGTAATTCGAAAATGATTTATTCCAGTCCTTCCTAAGTAAGACAATACATAGCTTCCAGGTTTTCTGTCGCTTTCACGAACCAAGTAACTACCCATTTTGCTCGCATCCCACAGTCTTTCCTCAGCTGTGAATCTATCTAATCGACCGTGATACCACCTGTAAAAGGTCACAGGCTATTTTCATCTCAATTTTCTAATTGAGTATCAAGGCTCACACGCCTTGCATTTACATCCAACCCTATCTTAAAATATTATATGTCTATGAAAAGTTGATATAAATTATATATTCAAGTCTCACTGATTCTCTGGCGGCGCCGTTAACAAAGTAGCGTTCGCGCCGTCAGGTTCTTCTGCATCTTGTATGTCATCCGGTATATTTTCAAGAAAGGGATCAAATTCATTTTCTGCGTTCAAGGATTCGTTTTGACCACCATCCTCGCTTCCTGTACTAGGAGATCCACCTTTGCTGCTATGCTCCATCTAAAAGAGCGATGAAATAAAACTAATTGGACAATAAGTCATTATACATTCAAACTGTAAGCTTTAAGTTGTAAGAAATTGGCCAATCATAGTCGATCATCCTCATCGTGATTGATCAATTCCTTACAGCTTAAAACTTAAAAAATGGTTTACTATAGAAAGCCTAATATTTACCTAGAGTTTAATTTTTTTACAGTACAGGGAATAATACATTTATCATATTAACCTTTTTATTAAAAATTTTTCTTTGTTTTACTCAATATATGATCACCTTTGCTCTATAGTAACGGCTTAAGTCAGAACTGAACAGCCTTATTGATTAATTCAATATTAATTATATAATTTGAAGAAATCTTCTTTTTGTTTTTATTACAAGTTTGTTTAAGATCAACCATATCTTTTAGCTCTTTCCTTTGTTTTAAATAGTCTTGGGCCTATATTCTGTACACATTTACTGACACGTGTCGTCAATAGCCAATAAGAACTGTACTTTTCTCCTAAAAAGTCCTTGCCATTGGCTATCATCGACAATTGTCGATAAACATGTACAGAATATAGACCTAGATGAAATAATCTATCAAGTTTTTAAAAATTTGATGGATTATATTTCTTTAGTTACACACGCTCGCACGCATGCATGTATACACACGCAATTAAAAAAGATATATTTTTTTAATCAATATAGACATGATTTCATACAATTTAAGACATTATTACAAGCATCATAAACAACTTTCATGCAGGATAAATTAAAATTCATTTTCAAAAAAGAATGTGGATTCCAAAGTCTCCAGCCCCTCGATCAGTGTAATTGAAAGAGAGCATGTTTAAATAAAAAATAAGATATATAAATTACCTTAATGATGCAAAAGATAAAAAATAATAATTAGAAATAATCATCAACGCATTCTGTCACTCTTTGTAGTTATCAAAAATCTGAGTCACTTCGACATCGTTATCGAACAGTATCATAAGTGTCATGTCTAAATATCATTAGAAAGAATCCAGAGTGAAAGTGTAGCATACGTGAAGCTGTTTTTCATTCAAACGCGTTGTACGTCCAGGCGATAACACTGGAGAGATAAAGTCCGTCCCTCGTAGAAATACAGCTGAATATATAGCCCCGCAACAACGTAAAGGGAAACGAGATGTTAAATAAAAAGAATAAGGAAATCGCGCCGCGAGGAAGGAATTTACGCTTCCACCGTTCGCAAGCTCCGTTCGTCAGGAAAGAGCCAGTGTCGTACGTGTTGTACGACACTGTCGAGTACACACATACGTATATTACATACCTTGGCATTGTTGGATACGCTGGGTCCGCCGCGCACGAACTCCGCCATCCCGTCCGCACGACTCTCACTTGCACGCGACTACGAAGCACTACGAAGCACTACGAAGCACCCAGACCGATCAGACGAACGGCATGCGTCGTCCCCTCTGCGATGTTTCTTCGCGTCGCAATCGTATTTACAAATACAATTACGAAGGCAGATACATACTCGTATCAGTATAAAATGTATTGACGTTTCCCGACAGCCATTTTACTTGCGCCGACCGTGACGCATGCGCGAGCATAATGGCGGAAAATCATAACGATAATAGCGCGACGGTAGTTTTTTAATAAACTTTCACAATGCTAGGAATATCGATAAGATCGAGAGTGATGTTATCGACGGAATAAACTTGAACACCGACAAAATATGGCAACATAGTTCAATGTTTGTGGACATAGAGGCGCTTCAAAATAAAAGTAACAGCAGAGAGAAACCTGGGGTGCAAACCCATGCAGCGGAATAGCGGAACGAGAGCAGAACCAATAACGAGCATTCCGTGTTTCTAGAGAATCTCGTGATTGGTTAGGGTTGCACCCTAAAATCTGTAACCGCAAAATCAGATTGTGATACATTAACACCTAATACATGTGAATCTAAATACAGTTATCAGAAAGAAATTACATTATTATATTTTTTATATTAATACTGTATTTCATAAAATTATATTTTCTAAAATAACTGGTTGTTCTGCACCAGACTGCAATAATTCTGCAAAAAAGGGTTATATTATGAAAGTCTTTCCTTGTAATCCTGAAAAAAGAGCAAAATGGGCAGCGGATGTAGGTCGACTTAAATTTGACGCCATGATAATTTCCGGTTTTTACTGAAAAATGTCAGCACCAATCAAAATTGGAAACGTTATTTCGCGACTCTGATTAGAGGGTCTCTAATGGCGATGAACCAACCCGCTGGCGAATACGCAGGTAAACCATACATTATATATTTAAATAGACATTTATTGGCATACTTTTCAAACTGATAAACGTACTCTTTTTGTCAGATTGTATAATAAATTAAAAGAGTCAGGTGAAAGTAAAAGTAAAGCAATCAAGAATACTGTGCCATCTAATATGTAAAATTTTTCCTTTGGGGAGCAATTAATTCCTGACATAATCCCGTCAATTCGCGATTCTATTGTAAGTTATACAAATAAATTATATTATTTAGCCTCATTACTGTTTATATAATATAATGACAGCGTGTATTTAAATAGGAAAACCTAAATAATCTATGCACTGGCGTTAATCAATATGAGATATGAAACTTTGCCCGTTCATCATGATGAATCGGAAATGTATCATACTCAGTCTCTTGTAAGCAGCACTAAATATTTAGATTAAGCGGGTGGAGCAAGTCTCTTCGTATCTCAAGATTAAAAATTTTTTTCTTTTCTAATATGCATATTATCACTTTGTATCAGATTTCTTATGACTGTGTCAATTTAAAGATTTCTTGTTAAAATATCTTGTTAATATTTTATTACAGAACTACAAAATATGAAGTTCAACATCCTGAATTGCAAGATACTGATGTGATTGAATTGTCACCGTAACTCCGTATACCATATCACCCTGACTCCTCCAGTAAAAAATGAAGCAACCGTGACTATTCATAGCTTTTTCAAAGAAGCAGAACCATTTGAGACCGATATATGTTAATATATGTTAACAGAAACGCAAATTCTCGTAATGATATATCTTCTTTAAGTATCTCGTTGTCATGATCACACATTATAAACTATAAATTCAACAAATTGAAAAAAGAATGAAAATTTTATATTCTTTAATAAAAATATTATTTAATCCTATATTTTTTTTAATTTATGCATCGGAATATTCTAATAACTCTATTCTAAAAAATATATATTCCATAATAAAATACATAAATATTCATGCAAGATATTATTTATGTATAGATAAAATTATTATTTATTCTGTTGCAACCTTGATGATAAAAATATATACTGATAAGTGAATGAATAAATCATATGACTTTTTCTTGTGTAACACATACATACTTCATAATCAATATAGTAAAAAAAATCTCATCACGCAAGTTTTATATTATTTATCAATTTATCTCGAATCTGTTTCTAGTATAATTATACTATTCTACTGTTATGATCAAAATTTATTTCTGCGACCTATTCACTACAGCTGTTATCTAATATAATTAATTATATAATTACTCGCTTGAAAAGCAACGAGAAATATCAACGTGTATATAAATAAATTGTTTAACTCATGATGTATAAGTTCTTTCTTCTTACATCATAAAGATTCGTGATAGTCTTATGTTAAATCGCAGACATCAGTTCTTAACGAATTAGAATTAATAAAAAATCTATCTGATCTTTAGCAAAGTCAAATCACGTGTAATATTTCTTTTTCTTCCTAAATAAATAACCTATACAAAATAATTAATAAGGATAGGTTGATCGTAGAGAAGAAATAATATGTAAATTAGAAACGAATATTGTGAAAACTGAATGCCAGATACTGCGGACTTTGAACTACGCATATCATATTTATATATATAAAAATTCGTCAAATTCACTCATTTAATTCCTTCGCATTCGACTTGAGCAGTTGTGCACTCAAGTGCTAGTGCATCATAGTGCATATCGCCAGCAGTGTTTAATATAGGATATATGCAGAGAATGAAGAATTTTTTTATCAGTTTTTGTCAATCTTATATTTACAGATTATCAATACATTAATGACATAATTGACAACATTTTATAATAATAATTGATCTAAATCTAAATTACTCTACATGTGCAAGAGGTAAGCTCTATTTTTATCTATATTTCTATCATTTGTCTATGTATTTTCCATTTAGACCAGTGATGTTTTACCAATTTTTAACAGCCTGTCGACTCATATTTTCATGAAAATATAACATTATATTTTCTACAAACATTATACTTTATACAAACGAAACAAATATTATGTAACCTGAAAGATTTTATAAAAATAATAATGACAATAGATTCTTAAAAAAGGTTATGCATCACTGATTTATAAAATTAAGAAATATAGTGTTTTGTTAAATATGAAGCTAAAAAGAGTTCATAATGAAAAGATTTGTTTGCAATGTTAATTACACACAATAATAGAGCTCAAATCTTCTAAAAACTGTCCTGCAAATATAAACTTTTTTTTAAAATGTATTGTTTCAGTAAATAAAAAAAAAAAAGATTTCTTATTCAACAAGATATACATTGTAAGAGTGAACAGCAAAAATGGTAGAAGTAGAACAACAGTCTACAGAAATAAGACTCTCTGTACCTTGGGGTCATGTTGCTGCCAAAACTTATGGTTCTTCCACAGGAAAGCTAGTCTTAGTAGTACATGGTCGTCTAGATAACGCAGGATCGTTTACTAGATTGATGAAATATTTACCAAAAGAATTATTTTATTATGTATGCATAGATTTACCTGGACATGGATGGTCATCACACTTTCCATCTTGGATGATATTAGATGTTATGGATTATATACATGCGTTATATTTTATCTTAGAAGCGCTTCAGTGGAAAACATTTATTTATATAGGACACAGTTTGGGAGCCCAAATAGCTGTGATATTTAATACTTTTCATCCAAACAGAATCGAAAAGTTAATTTCTATTGATGGCATTCTTATGAATCCTACTATATTTAAAAAATTTACAACTTATTTTAAGAATGCATCTGCATTTTCATTAAAAGCTTATCATAAAGAAAAACCGTTGTCTTTTACTAGAGAAGAAATATTACATGCTCTTAAGACTATAAGGTTTGGTGGAATTTTGAATTCTGAAGCTGTCGATGCATTATTTGAACGTGCAGTTACAGAAGTAAATGGAAAGTACATTTATAACAGAGATATACGACTAAAAAATCATCCTTTTACATTTATGCAGATAAATGAATGTCAGATGTTTAACAGCATGTTTTCAGTTCCAACATACCTCGTCATTCCATCTCACGGTATTATTTTCGCACATAAACAACTTTATATGTTAGTATCGGAAACAATAAAAACTAAAACCACGTTAGAAGTAATTCATATAGACGGAAATCATCACGTTCATAATAATAACCCTGAAAAAGTTGCACCATTTATATGTAAAATATTAAATAGTAACTATTCTAGCAAACTATAGATAATTGTGTGCATACATGCACGCATATACACACGTATCCTTGAGTAGAAAAAGAAATTATTAATGCCTTTATATAAAGATTTAGTTAGATTATTAAATGTATTAGAATATTATAAACATAAACGGGAGTAGTACAAATATATATAATTTATCAAATATATACACACAAGTATATTATATAAATATCTGATTTCTCTTGTATGTACTTTAAATTACATGTTAATATGTATTTATTTCAACTTAAATACTTTTACAACTTATCGTTAGTAAATGTATTTAAATAATAAGTTATACCTATGCATATGCAGTTTATATAATACTTAATTGTTTATTTTTTCACTTTTATTTTATAATGTGTATAAGGATACAAGAGGAGGAGTATCAGGTTGTAAAGTTGTCATGTAGAAAATAGTTATAGGATACAATACATTAAGAAAGCTATTGTATAAAAATTGTATTTTCCATAAGAAATTGTACAAAATTGTAAAATAGTTTATTCTTGTAAATTTTTATAAATTTACTATTGTAATTTTCACTAAACCTTTCATTTGATGGACTTTAATTTTTATTTCCTTATCTCTCGAAATAATGTCTCTTAATTCATTTTCAAAAACGATTGCAGTATGATTCATGAAAGAATCCTTTTTTGTATCATGTACATGATGTGGACTGAGTTGAATCTTGTACCAACATATTAAGGCATTTGGTAAAATTTTCCTTTTATTATTTATTTCACCAAAATTCACAATTGTTTCAGTAGTCTCTGTTTCATTTATTTCTATTAGTGTTTGTGCCTCAGATATAATTTCACATGAATATAAACTTGAATTCAAATCAAAAATTTGGTTGATCTATAGCAAAATAAGCATAGAAATAAAAATCAACATCTTCAATCTAAAATTTAATTGTATATATGGATTTACCTTATATTTATTAATGTGTTCAGCGATTATGTAATTTGTACTTTTATTTACTTTGGCTATATTATTCTGCACATGTAGATCATCTTCGCTATCTGAACTCTAAAAAAAAAATATATAATCGTTTACAAAGCAAAATATCAAAATTTAAAGCAATTACGAGAGACCAAATAAGATATTTGAATATTCAAGTTTTAATCATAAATAAATACCACCATAAAATAGCAAATATAATATAAAGATGTTTCGACTCACAGTCTTCATCAGTTTAGAATTAACATAAAACTTATAAACTTACAAATTTTTTACATTTAAATCTATAATAATTATAAAGTGACAATGAGTTCTGAAAAATTTTTTTAAATCATTCTTTTTATTAAAATTATATTTTAATTAAATATAAATTACATGATTAAATACTGTATCATTATACCGTGTCAGTAGAAGTGTCAAATGAAAATGATCTTTGGAGATTCGCATCTTGTACATAAACCATATTTGGTAAATCTTCTGAGTACACCAACTGTCCCATAAGAAAAATCTTCTCTGGCAATAATACGCCATTTGTTTTAAGCAAATTTCTGAGGCAATAGATGATAAGAAATTTTCATATATATTTCATAATTATATAAAACATACAACATGTAAATATTATATACAATATAATACCTAGAAATTTCATAGCAACTACCTTGGTCATCTTTTAATTCACCTTTAATATCAAAATTGTAAATAAATATAGAATCTAGAGAATATGGAATTTCCTCATAACTTGATATCATATGTACTTTCTCTTGTATCTCGCTATCACGGGCTATTTGTTCAATTAGAACACGTAACGCTGGATTGTCAGTTTTGTAATATAAAATCTCACTATCTTTACATTCCTTTAAAAGAGTCAACCCATAGATTGGAAAAGGTGAAGTATCCAAAATATATTTCATTTTTCTACTCTTTTGAGATCTACCAATTTCTGTGAGCAATTTGACGTAATCGAAGTCGTTTAAGAAGGCAATGACTTCTTTTGGCAAATGATATAAAGTTGTGCAATTTTTACTATATCGTGCATTATTCATGCTATAAGAACATTTCAGTTTGCTTTTCAAAGTTTCAACTTTTATCGTCAATACATCACCTTTGTGACATATAGTTGGCATCGTTGGGAAAACAGCAAATTGCCAGCAAGATTTCCCATCTGAAGAATCTAGTGTAATCTCCTCGTCAAGATGTAACCTGAACCAAGTGATTAAACCATCTATGATACCATCGTATCTACATTTTGTTTGTAGCATCTGCTTTATTCCATCTTTGCAGAATTCATATAATTCTGGTAGATTATTAAAATTTATATTAAAAAGCAACTGTGGCTCTGTAACGTAATTAATTTGAACTTTCTCCAGGTTTTCTGTATCGTAATATTCGTCGTCTGACAATATAGATATATTATCAAAATTTAAAGGACAGTGATCTTTTATCTTGTCAAAAACCACTGATGATCTATATCTAATATATTCACATTCAATAACTGCTGTGTAAACTGTCGCGCCCATAGGTATTACCATACCATTTAAATCTAAAATATTCATGTGTACGTTAATCATAGATGGTATTACAAGCTCTCCAAATAAGCCAGCATCAAATGTTTCAGTCACTATTAATTTTACTCTAAAATTACAGGTAATGGTTTTAATATGAGTCGATGCATAATATTGTAATAAATTGATTGATGCAAATAATTTTTTAAAGATATATATACTGTATTACACGCGTACAGATACAAACCTTTCTGAAACATCCATAGGTACTTTAAGATCAAACGACAGTTTTGGTATTAATTTTATGTCAGCTGCATCGTTAGATTCGAATACTTCTTTTGCAATCAATGTCATTGCTTCGGAACATTCACATGCATAAACCTTTGTGGCTCCAGCGTCTTTTGCATATAAACTCAAAAGACCTGTACCAGTTCCTACATCCAATACTGTATCGTAGCCCTGACTGACTCTCTTACGTATGGCTCGTTCAAAAGCATTGTTTCTTTGTTTGTCATTGAGCATTGTAAAATGCCACCTATCCACTGCCATACTATATGCATTTTGCAAGTTTCGCTCCGCCGGTAGAAAGTTAACATCAACTTTCAAAGCTCTTTTTAAATACTCTATTGCCCTTACAGGATCGTTATTCCTTTAACAAGTATATGCAGCATTCTATGAGTCTTTTTTTTTTTTAGATCCAGACTAATAATTATAAGAATTTTTGTAATTAACAATTAGTATGTATGCATAACAGTATGGAGATTACCTTAACAAGTGCGCTGCAAAATTATTTAACATACGAGGATTGTTTGGATAAATATTCAAGGAAAATTTGTAAGAGCTTACAATATCTGAAAATTTGTTGTTGTTTGCTAACTGCATTCCCCATTCACCTAAAAAATAAATATTATTATATAAAAAAATAGGATGTTTCTCTGTTATATAAGTATAAATATAAATTATACACATGTTTTACATAGCACATCTGTAAACATTTCTTCAATTTCCGATCTCCTTGCAGACAGTTTCGCAAAAATAATGTAATATGCAAAAGCTTTTCCGACATTTCCAATTCTATCATATTCTCTGGCTTTTTGCAGTGACTCTTCCAATATACTATTTACTTCTGCTTGCATTTTTGCATCGATCAAGTTTTATTTATTTTTACCCCATTCGCCTTGGTTTTATAATGACGTTGATTTAAAAAATTTTTTAACTGACATTATCACGAGACGATCAAGTAATTAATTATATCAATACACATGCAACACGACCAACACGCATACGTCAAATACGAAATTAACCTAAACTAACCTAACATTTGTTTGCTTCGATCCGTACCAACTGAAAAACAAACTTTCTGAAGATACATCGCAACAAGAAAGCAGAGGGCGCTATCGAGTTTTTGTTTTGAATAATAAAAAAAAGAACTGTTCTTAAAAGCGTTCAAAAACTCGGTTTAATACGGTATTGCATAACCGTTGCTAAATTTTGTCCAATTTTCGAATATGTTTGTTATAAAAAATTGAGAATCGTAAATTGAAAATTGGAATTTAATTAATGGAAACCAACTGCAAAGATTAATTTTCTGATTAAAAAATTTCATTAAAATTTAATGTTTAATTTGCAAGTGTAATAATAATAATATATGTATTTTAATGCTCGCTGGTATTGGCTGGTATCGCATTGCGTTCTCAATCTCACCAAGAAGACGTATATATATAATGTATATATATATATATGTGTGTGTGTGTGTGTGTGTAATAACTCATAACGGCTTCCACTCGCATGTGTATATACTACATATACATACATATACGCATTTTCATACAATCAATGGGAAATACACATCTACCACATCATATAATTGAACCATATATATATGTAATAATATAGCAAATATATAAAAACGTCGAATCATAATAGTCGCTTTGTTTTCATCAAGATGAAACATACAAAAAATTTTATTTTATTTTATTATAAAAAGAATAACAATTTGGCAGAGTAGATTAATTGTTTGATCGCAGTAACGTTATTAATTCGTCTAAAAATTTATATATATATTGTACAAAATTCTGGCATAAAATAAATTTATTCTTTATAAAGTTTTTTATTAAATAAATATATTCTTTTTTAACTCCAATTTTCCATTTGCTCCACATGTACATATACATAAATATATTATACGATAATCGCATTTAACTAGCCTACTTTCCTATATAATTAAAAATATTCAATTAGAAAATTGCAAAAGTTAATTAAATTTTAAGGACATTGCATGTTGTGCAGGGACTTTAAAGGCAAAATTCATTGTTAGAAAGAGAAATATATATCTAAATTCTTTATTTTTGAAAAAGCAAATAAACATTCAAAAATATTCTAGAAAATCCATTTATTAAAACAAAACTTAACATTGACAAAATTTGATTATTTTTTTCTCCAAAATTTTGTTATTGTTTTCGTTAATTTACTAATTATTTCATATCGTGTGATTGAAAGCCATAATAATGTCGTTATTAACGTGTTATTATAGTAACTACGTTCTTTATAGCTACTTCTCGAGCTATATCCTCTGGTATAA